ACGTGGAATTCGCTGCAAAGTATATTTTCCCTTTTCAATTTTCCTTGTATCGTCGTAGAAAAGAAAGTGAATAGTGAGCATATTTATTGCACTAGGGAGTTCATTTATGTCTCATAGAAAGAGCAATCTATCTCCTTCGACGCTCGACGTCGCAGGAAATCCATTACCTCATCATTAAAAAACCATGAATGTTTACTCTCACATCTAGCAAACTGAAAAAATTATTAGCATTTTTTTCCGTGTGAAATTACTTGCAGTTACGAGATGTTCTATATATCAATACGCCTACGATATTGAACCGAAGGTTTTTTTTATAGCTAGATTACTGAATATAACAAATTATTCTTTTTACGGCCAGTGCATTTCATGGTAGATCACAATAGCCTCGCAATCGGAATGTGCCTTGCTTGAGTGCATTGATTCTGAAAATCCAAATATGCGAGGGAGGAATATGCAATGCATCAATGAGAAGTGCTAATAATTATCTAAGGAAAGAGACAGGACACTTGCCATTTCCTTCTCCATATGGTTTCATGCAGAGTTTCTGCGCACCATACTCTTTCTCAGTGCAAATAGCGTCGAAGAAGAAAGCTGGCAGATCTGTTTTTGCTTCCTGGCAAATGTTTCTTGACTTGGAGGTGAATCTACGCAAATTAGATATCAGCAGAAAGCGTGTCCACATTGTGGCAGGGAAATCATTCAATTCAAATTTATTTTTAGGGCAAATTGTGACGGCTGGAAAAGGAAGGGAATCCTTCATCTCCACCTGGATTGTGATGCACGCAAGGAATCGATTAGTTACCTTCGGCAAACTGATGCGCAAATTCTCTGACATTTACAAGAAGACGGCGTGAAAACGGGTCTGTTAGTTCTCCAAAAGATCTCAGTCAATACCACTCATTACATTAAAGTATTAATGGACCTGCGAAAATGTTTATTTCTTTAAATTTATTAAATATATTAAATTTATTTAAATTTATTTAAAGTGGAAGTGCTAAGGGAACGAAGGAGAGGATGCAGTGTGATATACTTGAGTCGTGGTAGCCACCTCGCCCGACATGAACGCCAGGAGGACTCCGATGATTTCGTAAATCATGTAGCCCAGCGCGAAGAAAAAGACGAAAAGCCAGATGATTCTCCTGACGCTAGAAGAGTCCGTGTATGCAGAACGACCCAGGGCCTGAATGATTGGAGATTCATTAGCTTTCTGTTGGAGCTTCAGTCCATGAGATGAGATCATTCTTGATGCCACGGTAACGATACACACGCTTCAAATCTGCAAATAGGCTGGTAGGCACTAAGAGTAATGAATATCAGTTGGATCCTTGAGAAACCGACGAACGGGCAAAACCCACCCATCTCCGATTTTCATGATATTTGGCATTCAAGGTTCTCGTGCCCGAGAACAGGAAAATCGCAAATATTTGGCTAAATGGACCAATTGGTCATATGCTTCAGGGTGGCCAACATTAAGGGTTACGTGCTAACTTCCGACTTTGGAAGCCATGCAACTCCAAAACTACCTTGTATTCGTGATAGAGCATTCGTTGTCATTTCATTGAATGTAGCTGCAGAATGTGAAATGTTTTCTTAAAATATCAATTAATGAAATATCTCTGAAAGTCATTCATTGACAAAAAATTTGCTCCGAATCTCAGGAGAGTAAACTTGACATGTGATTTGTGAGGTAATTATCACCTTCAATTGAAAGGCTTTCAAGTTTTACTTGAGGCATAATAATTCCATTTTGCCACTCGAAAAGTTGCTAATTTTTTATTTTGGGATTCTGCATTGTTTTATTGAGGGGATTTTCTACGCGTTGGAAATATTTTTCATGCACAAAACTGACTTAATCTTTACGGACATTGCACGGGAAAAACATTACTTTTAAAAAGTCACTCATTTCATATACATCCCTTTTTAGTATACTTCGTCAAATCCAATACAGTCCTTCAACATTATTATTCCACGGCGTTTTCGTTACACCTACCGGTGAAAACTGTTTTTTTTTTCCACTAAAGAAACATAAACAAAAGAAGGCGACTCACGTGTCCGGAAAATCTTTGAAGGAAATGCTCGGTGACAGGGCCGACACCGACCTTTGCTTCTTCGCATTCTCTTTCTGTTTCTTTCCCATTGTCCGCTCCAGCGATGGAGACTTTCTTTCTCATCGCTATTTCTTCGACGGAAACTAGCTTATTGCACAATCGTCCGCTGTAGGTGCAACACGATCCTCTAGGGCCCGTAAGGTCCTCCGCTTCCGAACACCATGTGTTCGGAAGAGCTCCGATTGGTCGAAGAGGTCGTGGCGAGCTCCGATTGGCCAATGTGATGAAGGCAGTGTTGAGAGGCACGACGGAATGTCCTGGGTTCGGTAGTGTAATGGTAGCACACCTGACCGGCAATCAGGAGGCCCGGGTTCAATTCCCGGCCGTCCCCTGGCTTTCTTTCGTCCTCTCTCGTCCATCCAACCTCCCTACCTTCAGTTATTCACGTGACAACTTGGTGGCAGCAGCGGAGCGAACCCACGCTTCGGAGACTGGTGAGTTTGTCTGGCATTAGCGGGGCTATGAGCCTACGCCCACCTACGGGTGGAATTGGACTGGCCGTGGCACGAGTAGTGAGGGTGGAGTTGTGTAAGAGGCATGGTGGAGTTGAGGGGGCGCCCCCATTGGTATTGTGTGTATAGTCCCGTAGTGGACATTGGTCCCGAAGAGGACATTGTATACTCCCATGCACTCCCATCCAAGTATCCGAAAGGTCCGGCAGTCATTTGTGTCTAAAAGTCTGGAGGTCCAAACTTCATGAGGAGGGAGGTAATGTGCTGAAGGCAGTGTTGAGAGGCACAACGGAATGTCCTGGGTTCGGTGGTGTAATGTTAGCACACCTGACCGGCAATCAGGAGGCCCGGGTTCAATTCCCGGCCGTCCCCTGGCTTTCTTTCGTCCTCTCTCGTCCATCCAACCTCCCTACCTTCAGTTATTCACGTGACATTTCCATGGTCTGCACCACAGCCTCCTCAACCTTTGCCACAATCTCACTCTAAACAACTTCCCTCTTTTTTCTAATTTCCAAGACCTGAAAATAATCAAAATAAGGGATCGTGTATTGATCAACGATCTTCAATATCTCCATCAGCTCTTTGAGATTCTCCATGAGTTTTCCATACAAGTTGTGTGGGTCATTCTCCACCACCCGTCTACTCTCCTCCAGAAATCCCTGACACTCATCACACTTGAAGAGGTATCTGTCCATAAGTACCTGCGCATCAAGTATTCCAAACTCATTCTCGCAGGTTACAGACACGAATATCTCCTCGGCCTTCCCCATCTCGCTCTCCAACTTCTTTGTCATCTTGAATATATTGTACTTAATGATGTCCCTAACCTCGCGATAGTTGATGTAAAAAACCGTCCTGAGTTCCTGATAATTGTTCTCTTTGTTCTCGATTTTTGTTTCTTCTCGTATAATTTTGTCTTCACGGAGCTTGAACACAATTTTGCTGAACTCTTTCGGGAGGATTTTTAGTGCCGAGCACAGTTCTGAATCGAACATCAAGAGCCTTGCCAGGAGGATGTCTATGACTATGACGTGTTGGGTGTCACAATTTGCGGACGAAGGGCTGAATGAGTTGCTTCATCGTTGGTTCGTAGTCCATGAGGATGTGTGATTTTTCGTTGTTGTATCAGAAGTTTTCCTTTTTGCTTTTATTTATCTGTCTTTTGAGTTAGTGTTTTTTGGCTAGAATATCTATCTACCAGTGTTAACTAGCCAGTATATATACATGAGCTTGTACAATTTTCTGCAACTGATTTTTATGGCACTTAACAGTGCTAAAAATAGAAAAGATTCACTCAAATATTTTTGTAGATAAAGTGTGCCAGGAAAAAGCTTTCACTGCCTCTTTCTGCAAGTATTTTTTGTTTTCTGCATCTCACACAGAGCATCCCATCAAAAGGCATGGGCACTGTGTTGCCAACTTCTCCATTTTTATCAACGAGTCTGATGTTTGTTTTTTCATCCCCATTCTCGTTTTTCCTTTGGATAATAAATACATCAAGAACGTCTTCTTCCAAGGAGTTTATAGGATCGTTGATCAGAATGTAGTCGCCTATCCTAAAATTGAAAAAATCAGACGAAATCAGTGAAAATCCACTTAAACTGAACACAATTGGGTTTATGAGACTCAATCTTTCTACCTTCCTCGAGTAGAACGGACCTTCTAAGACACATTTATCGAAGTCAAAGTCGTAATTAACATCAGGCACGTATATAAAATCACCTTCTAATTCTATATCCAGGGGAAAGTGCTGGGAATGATCGCCTATGCTCGATTGAAATTTGTTTCTTCCCTCTATGTTCTCGCAGTTACTTCCCTCTACATTGAACCATCCAGTGATTGCCTTTCTGCCACTTTTCTTACAGGATGCCACCTCGTGGTAAGGTACACTCGATACCTAAAACATAACGAGAAGATTCCTCCTAACCGGGATCTTTTTAATCTCTTTCATTGCATATTTATAATATAGAACTAGTTCCCCTGTATCGAAGTCACTCAGGTAGTAGCTAAACGCAAATTTCCGATTATCAATTAAGTCGTCCTGGCACAGCAGATAGTTGTCCTCGAAGTAATACGAGGCAAATACGTTCAGCCAGCTTTTCTCATTTGTTTTGAAAAAGGACGCTACGGTCGAGTTGATTCTATTCACAAAAAACTGCATGCCGCTGTATGTGCTTAGCTCATTCGTTTGAAAAAAGTGGAAGAGATCGGTGCGTTTCTCATGGAATTCTAGCTTAGAGTATGTATCAGCAAGTTTTTCATAGTCCGTGTAGTCTAGGAAATCCTGGAGACAGATGTGTGGGAATGGTTCGTTAAATTTTTGCATTCAGATGTTAACAATGGAGGGCTCAGGTGCAAGGAATTGAGATCAGCGTCGATGTAACACATGTCCAGTGCTTTACGTGGAGATATATTCGGATAGATTGAAAGAGCTTCAAAAATGCCAAGTATGCAGAAAGTGCAGATGTGTCTTTGTGATGGATTTTTCCATTAATGAACATTATTCACGGAAATTGATTCTACTACTTTCGCTTAACCGGCTTTTATTGTATCTAGCATTAAAAAACTGTTAAATTATTCTTTCAAAGGGCCCACGATTTTCATAAAAATACCTCGATCAAGTCTCCAACTCTGTCCGTTTTTGGCACATGATAATGAATATTTTGTGTAGAAGTTGTTAATTAAAAAAAATCGGGGGCGCGCTCAAAAAAGTACACCTCGACAATGGCAACGGTGGGAATCGAACCCACACCCTCTAAAGAGGACCAGGACCTGAACCTGGCGCCTTTAACCACTGCCACGCTACCTGGAGAGCGCCCATTTTCTCAATTTATACAGGATGCTTAACGTCGAAAACTTGAAAAATGATGAGTATTGGTCTGTTTTATTTACTACCCATATCAACAGCAAAAAACTCCCAGAATATCAGAGACGTTCAGAAGTTTCTTTTGGCAGAGGCCCAGTCGCCAGAGAGATCCCTCTGGGAATTTCCTAATCACAGTAGAGTTTATACAAAAGTTTGATTGCTGCAATGTAATATACCCTATTACTTGCATCCAAAATCGCCCACCCTTTTTTTCGTTAGATTTGGATGCTTTTCCAGCCTTTGATCTAGAAGCTGCGTTCAACTTTTTCATGCGCATAAAAAGCAATGCCATTATGATGGTAACATCAACAGTAGCAGCCATCAAGAATATTGGACGTAAAATGCCTATTTGGTTGTAGTCTAGTCATTTATGCGGAAAAAATCTAATCTATTTAATCAAAACGTTCAGAAATCTGATATCCCATTAGACTGTTAATTTAGTTATAGAATCATGTCCTTTAGACAAAAAGAATAATTTTTCTACAGTGTGCTGGATCTGAAGGGAGACATTCCGTACGTTTCAAAAGTCTTATTGGATGGAGCCGCTGCTGATTCAATACATGGTAAAATTTTATCTTTCGACCGGTGTTACAGCAGCATGTCAAGGAAATATGAATTCACTGCAACAATGTTTTAATAGTGAATTGAAATCGCAGTAATTGCATTTATAAAAAACTATAATATCGGCGAAAAATCACAGACACTAACATGTGACCAGATATTGTGGTATTTTTGGGAATTAATCCTTAATATTTGAACCAATGTCTTACATAAAGTTGTGCTATTTGGGAAACAGCTTTGAATAAGAAAACTGGTTATGTGATTTGTTTGTGGCCTCTTGCAGAGTTCAGAACAATTGGCACTGAAATTGGGTTTAAATGTGGACTGCAATTTTATGGATTTATATGAAATTTCTGTGCAGACGTTGACTTTTATTCATTCAGCCCCATACTAACAACAAACACTAGTTCATTAGCCCGTATGGCTACTTCAAAACAAGCACAAAGACAACAACAAATATACGATGACTATTACCGCGCCCTAAAAGACCACGAAACCACCCAGTGCTTCCTAAGGGATCAACATAATATCCTAAAAGAAACCAAGGTGATATTTCTCAAGACAGAAAACGACGTCCAGTCGCTATCAACCGTTGGCCCCAAAGAAGTAGGTCCTAAAGAAGTTGCACGACGAGAATTTTATGGTGAAGACCAGCCAGGGACCAAGATACGTTGTTGGATGCAAGGCGTGTATTGATAGGTCTCTTATCGTTTCTAGCAGCAGAGTGGCCTTGGACCTGACAACTCTGACCATAATGAAAATTATTCCGAAGGAAGTGGGCCCAACTGTCAATTCCATGACGGAAGAATCGCCTGGGGACATAAGTTTTGAGAAGGTTGGAGGACTGAAAAACGAAATTAGAGAACTAAAAGAGGTGATCGAGTTGCCAATTAAAAATCCCGAAATATTTAAAACAGTGGGCATCAGGGCTCCAAAGGGTGTTTTGCTCTACGGTCCACCGGGAACAGGAAAAACCCTGCTAGCCAGGGCAGTTGCAGCTACTTTGGACGTAAATTTCTTGAAGGTCGCTTCCTCTGCCTTGATTGAGAAATATATCGGCGAAAGTTCCAGGATGATCAGGGAAATGTTTGCATACGCAAGGGAAAGAGTCCCCTGCATAATTTTTTTGGACGAGATTGATGCGATCGGTGGCAAGAGGACGAGTGATTCCAGTTCAAGCGACAGGGAAGTGCAAAGGAGATTGATGGAACTGTTGAATCAGCTGGATGGATTTAAAGACCTGGAGGATGTCAAGGTCATAATGGCAACCAACAGGCCTGATATACAGAATCCTGCTCTAATGAGGCCTGGAAGACTTGATAGGAAAATTGACATTCCACTACCCAACGACCAGTCCAGAAAGAAAATATTAGGCTGTTCCAAAATAAATGTCCGAATTCGATCGCAAAGTTTGAAGGGTCGTAACTCAGCTGATAATGAACATTTTTAATTGAAGTAAGCACCATCCGCTTCAACACAATTCTGCCAACGAGATACAAGCTTGTTGATCCCACTCGAGTAGAAATCCTGGGTTCTGGAGGCGATGAAATCCTTAAAGGCATCTTCGGCAGAGGTCTGATCATGGAAGTGTTTCTCCTCGACGAAGTGATCCAGGTGTTTGAAAAAGTGGTAATCTGTAGGTGATATGTCTGTGGAGTATGGTGGATGAGGCAGAGTTTCGTAGCCCAGCTGATTCAGTTTGCGTACGGTGAGATGTGCGACATGCTACGTTAGGCTAAAGATAAATAAAAAGCAACTAAGTGGCTTACATAGAGAAAGGTTTGCTGAAAAAAACGGTATATAACAATAACTGGTTATCGCAAAATTGACAGGTATAATGATAGACAAAACATTGCACTTCGAAAATCGGACATTTATTTCGGAACAACCTAATAAATACACAAAATGAAATTAAGCTGCAATATAAAAAGGAGAAAATCACTGAAAAGGCAAGAATCTGCACACTTTCAAGTCATTCAGCGGCAGTATTCATGGTTAAGATGACAATATTTCGTTATCTAGACGACGAGGTCGCGAATGAAAGGGAAACATGGCTCATTGCAGCAAAATTTCTCAGCAGCTTTATAAAAAACGAATATTTTGTAGAAATGTTGTGGCCAGTAATCAGAAAGAGCAAGGTATCATTCAAACACTTTTTCATAGCCTGTACAAAAAGTCGCTCAACAGATATCCAATCAAAGAGTGTCAAGAGAGAAATCTTGCTGTGCACAGCCCTTCGAGATTCGCTACTCGTATAAAAAAGGACGATCACAATAATCTAATGGGAAATGCGTTTCTCTTGTTTGTTGTCGCTCTTGTGATAGGTTCTAAAATAGTAGAGGACGCAGTATATACGAATTTGTGCTGGTCGCAGCTGTGTGCATTGTCGCATTCCAAGATTAGTTCTGGAGGGAAATATATTCTAAACCTCCTTATGTGGGAGATTGAGTCCCATGACGAGGAGTTCATGCATCTAATTCGAGAATTTGAAAGAAAGAGCGGGAATGTTGGAATGTTTCAGTTCCAAAGGAATGGCTTCTTCCGGAAAAGGATAAAAAAATACTTTCGCTTAATGCTAAGGTGTCTTAGTTGCCACTAAATTGCAGGACCAGTGTCCCAGAGCAGGCTATAGTTTATTCCCATTAAATACATTTTTCGTCGCCGGTTCTTTTGTGTTCAAACCAGTCATCTGATATCGTTGGACATTAGCGGTAGTGGTCCCATTGAAAATCAAAAGCGATAGCTTCACAATAAGCTCCCAGAAATAATACAAACGGATATCTGGGGGGTTTGGCCTGTCTATGAGCCATAGAGAATTGCAGTTTTATGAAAAAAGGGTATTTGCGTGGAGGAAAGGTGCCATGGCTTCACGTTGATTGAGTGCAGACATCTCACATGTTCGCACAATACCTATATAAATGACATATCGGCGTAATTACAGAGTTACAGCGACAAAAACATCCTTGGTAGATTCTTGCAGATCCTGCCAAAAAGAGGCACCATTACTTTTGAGATAAACAGTTTGTATCGCTTTATCGGCAAAGAACACAGCTGACGCAAATCCTCGTGTTCTATCGCCAAAATTTTCGGATATTCCAGGAATTTGTCAAAAGGTATGTTGGCCCTCTCGTCTATTAGCGTTTTACACGCGCGGTCGTTGTAGACCACCCTTATAACCTTTTCTTTTTCTTTTATCCACTTTTCTATGATGACTGCACTGGCATTGGAGGGTCTCTCGTAGATGCTCGTCCCCAGTCCTATCAGAATTGCACTTACTGACCCATCATGTGCCGAGTAAATGTGCATGCGGGTGTTGTTTTCTAAAATATCTACAAGTTCCTTCGCAAACTTTCCAAACAATGTCTTCAAGACTCTCTCGTTTTCGTTAACAATCTTGGCCTGCTCCTTCCAGGTTTCAGAGCTTGCCTTAAGACACTCCGAAATATTCTTTTCTTTGCAGTCTAAAACATTGCAATTTATCTCAATGTCGTTGCAAAAATGTGTCCAGTAGCTGTCAGCCATTTTTTCAGAGCTAATCTCATACTCATCTGATTTTAGATGGGCATAAAGGTCCCTACTTCGTGTTTTTACTACCTGGTCTAACCTTTCCACTTTTGTACACTGAGGAGACTGTCATCGTCGTGGACGTTTACATTCTTCAATGACTTTGTCTTTTTTATGCCATTCATAACCCCGAACAGTGATGAGTGTGTTCTTGGAATAGACGTGGCCTATCTATATACTTTATGTACTCTCCATTTTTCCCCGAAAGAGACTCGTACGTGCTCTTGATAAAGCACCCAAGATTTTCCAGTTGCCTGTACCCCTTCAGTGTTAGCTCTCCCTCCTTGCATTTTTTCTCGGAGAATGTGTTGTTTATGCGCGACTCTGTTGTATTTACACTCCATACATGTTTCCTTCTCCCCTTTACTCTCATTCATGGTGACGGGGGTTCTGTCACCATGCCTGTGAATTATAACAACCTTTTGTATCTCAAATCCAGGCTCTTGCTTGCTTTTCGAGTATCTCGACTCGCAATACCATCCAAATCTTTCCAAGTCAGGGTTTTTCTGTAAAATGGGATATTTTTCGTCGTGCTCCTTCGAGTTTAGCCAGTTTATAAGAGGCCCAAAAAGCGTTTTCTTCCAATTCATTGCTTTCTTTACCTACAAAAACTTTTGATTACTGCTTTTGTTTCAAGTCTAGCTATGGAAAACGAGACCAGAAAAAGACATATCAGCAACAACTTCTTTTCATACTGTGGCACAAGTCTCTAAAACTTAAAAACTTTGACGGTCCTGCAGTTATAAGAGTGATAGATGTGTCAATCGTCAAACGGATATGAAAAGCATTTGAATGGCGGAAAGAAGAGTTCGGATTTATGTATTTAGTCAGTATTGGCAGTCTCTTTTTCGCTCTGAAAGTGATACAATAAATCTTTCGAGAAGCTATAATCATTCTCTCAGAAACATTTTAAGAACCGACACTTGAAACCACAAACGCCTGAGTTTTCATCATTCTTTTCGGAACATCTACTCCCTCATTGAATGTATATCCACTATAGACATCATCATGCAGCGCACCCGATGGCTGCTTACTGACAACATCTTCCGACATTAAGTTGTTCGTCACCCTCCACCCGAAATCTTTAGATGGATTTTCTCTCTTGGCGAATTCAAGGTTTCTTGTTTTCAGAGAGATAACTTTGAGTATTCGCTTCGAATTGTCCTCGCCACTGTTTTTCTTGAGGTCCCCGACGTCATCAACACTTTCTCCCGACTCACTTGAGCCATCAGGCTTCGACTCAAACTTTACACCATATACTAGCCTGTAATAACTGTAGCCTGTATTTTTATTGGTCTTCTTAGTCGCCTTTTCCTCATCAGAGCTGGCTGAGTTATTGTTTGCCATCAACCTGCATACGTAAACACTGATCATCATTTGTGAAAAATATTCCATGCTGGGTCTGAAAATGAGAAATTAAAACACTCAATTTCACTAAGCTCTTTCTAAATGGAAAATGTACCGAAAAGTCAAATATGTAAATATCTTAACATTTTTGGAGAATCTCCCAAAAGAAAGGCGTATATGTCATAATCCTTGTTAAAGGAAAAATAGATTGATTGTATTTGAATAAAAACTCATCCAGGCGAAGATGCTTAAGAAAATAACGCAGCAGGCTGATTTAGAAAAATTTGGGATATTGAATAAAAGTTTTTCAAAATATTAGGATCGGCAACACAAGGACAGGAGTTTCCCTACATCTAAGCGAGAATGTACCCACCGACTTTTACTCCATCTTTTGATCCACGGAGCTTCAAAATGCGTTTGCCGAAAACTTTTGACCAATGCAGGTTTTTTATTCGATACTTTCCAAATGCACATACAAAGCTTCATTCAAGCACAGTTACAAGTTTCCAGCGTTAAATAGACAACAAAACAGTCATACACCATTTAAAAAAAAAAAAATTCCGGGCGTCTCCTGAAACACCATGTGTCTTGAATCATACATAGCCATCATCAATGCTTTTTAGGGCAGCGAGTCACGGAGCACCAATTGGTGTATCTCATGGTATCATTTGAAATTTCTGTGCTTCAGGTGATCACGAGTACGTTGTTATGAATCTCACATAGAACATATTTTAAGAATTTATGGGAAACAGAAAAGCCAGCAGAATAATTGGAAGCTCCACCGACATAGGAACCAATAAAAGCACTTTTCACAAGTCAACTTGCTCAAAAGGCCTTGGAAAACCGATTTGCTATGATCACCTCAATGCAGAATGTGGGTGCCAATCAAAGATTAAGCCGGTAAAAGTAGATCAAATAAAGGAGGTATACGAAAACCAAAATAAAAATGCAGAACCTGCTAGCTTTTCAGCAACAAAGCCCGGCGAATGCTCTTACAATCTCAATCCAAACGTTAAAAAGATTGCCCAGTTCTATGAGAGTCTGAGATCAGAGCAGAAAAAGAATACAGCAACACAGGACTCATCGTGAAAACGTACACGCACCCTCTAATTACATTCAAGATGATACACTAAAACATTAAAATCGTCAATAAAAATTTTTTTGATACAAAATATGCTGTAGATCGCCTATTTCATACTTACGGACTCTTTGGAGTAGAAACGATACTTCCGAACGTGAGAATATTCAACATCAGGACCATTTCTAAGCGAAATAAAAACACAAGACAAGATGCCTTGGCACTTACATTACAAATTTGAAAATCCTTTTCGAGTTACTTTTTATTTAACAATTCATCGATTCTGAGACGCAGATTTTCATTTTTCATCGCCAACTCGGCCATGCCTTTGATCTCATCACAATCTGGGTACAGCTTGTACAAATCTTCAAAAATTAGAAAGGGAAGGGCACCCTCCTCAATCTCGGTGGCATCCTCCCTGCACAATCCAACTTCCTCATTAATTCTCAACATCTCCTCCATGTATAGCACTTCCATCCTGAAATATTCCAATTTGATGCCCTGTTCTTCCCGTTGACTGTAATGCCCTTCTGGAGCAAAGTCCTTGCACACTCAAAATCCCCCACTTCCAATAGCTTGGACCCACAAAAAATCCATAAATCAACATTCTTCACATTTTTCAAGCAAAACTCTCCGAAAAAACCTTTCAGAATCTCGTAGAGCCTCTTCTCCATCGCATACTCAATAAACTGTAGGAACAGCTTTTCATCCTCCGGGAATCTATGCAGTGCATCTTAGAAAGGAGAAACAATCCGATACGAAACGGCAGTGTCACAGCGTGTTGACCCAATAAACTTCTCTTTTTTCAATTGATCTTTCCATTCCTCAAGGCTTATCTCGTACTCTGTATATCGGAGATAGTCGAGCCTTCTTTTTTGGCTTCGTTGTAGACGATTTTCATGCATTTTACGTGTTTATGATTTCTTTTAGTTGTGTATCTGTGAATATTTCTTGTTTCCTGTAGCTTTCTAGTTCCGGGACCATTTTCTCCATGTTGAGTTGAACTTTATCTGCCATCCAACGGTAACTTTTAATTTGGAATATCAAGTCTTGCTGGGTGCAGTCCCCCATTGCATATCAGATAAGCAGTGTGTTTAAGACAGTTTTACAACTGAAGCATTTTACTATAATACTGTGTGTATTCCAAGTGCTGAAAAGATATGGTTCGATTTTTTATGACGTAGCATACCTCGTTGTAAGATAATAGAAAAGCAATAAAAAACACCCTAATGAAACAAGAAGTAAATCCGTACACCTACATGCCTTTAAAAATATCACAAATCGAGTTCGAAACAATGTCATCTTTCCAGATCCAATCACTGGCAGTAACAGAAATAATCAAGAAGGAAATATACGAAACCATCACCAAAACACCTATGGTCGATGGTCCTCTGGATCCAAGATTGGGTCTCAGCCGCAAAGAGGGACAATGCCAAACATGTAGTGAAACACTTTCCAACTGCTGCGGACACTTTGGCCAGTACAAGCTCGCACTGCCAGTGTTCCACGTGGGGTTCTACAGGCAGACATACACCATCTGCCAATCAATCTGCAAACACTGCTCACGTGTCCTAATTGATCCCTTGAAAAAACTAAAATACCTCCAAACCATGAAAACAGTCTCTGATTTGGGACAGAAGCGCTTGTTTACAAAAATCACAAACGAATGCAAGAAGATCTCAACCTGTTTCTACTGTAGGAAACACAATGGGAAGGTCAGAAAGGCCCCTGGTCTGAAAATATTTCTAGAAGCGTCTGACATGAAAGAGGACTTGAATCCGTTAAAGTGTTTGAACTTGTTTAGATGTATTCCTAAGAATGAGTATGTTCTCCTGGCGATCTATCATATCAATCACCAGCGGATTTAATAAATCAGAATTTAGTGATTCCCCCCGCACCAATTCGGCCGAGTGTGGCTATGGAACAAGAGGGAGGGTCAAATGAGGATGACTTAACTATTAAAATCAGTGAGATAATTCATTGCAACCAAATCCTAGTCAACTCAATCCAGAGAGACAATCCATATTCAGTGATCCTGGAGGATTGGGATTTTATACAGAACCAGTGTGCACAGCTGATATCCCCCGATGGCACGGGAAAACAAATCAAGGGGCTTTTGCAGAGACTGAAAGGCAAACATGGTAGGTTCAGGGGCAATTTAAGTGGCAAGAGGGTGGATTTTAGTTCTAGGACTGTGATTTCCCCAGATCCCAATTTGGGGGTAGATGAAGTTGGAGTACCCAGACACATAGCCAAGATCCTGACTATTCCCGAGAGGGTAGCTGGCTTCAATATTGAAAGGCTTAGAAAGCTGATCAGAAATGGAGTAAATTATCCCGGATCAAATTATGTTATAAAGCCTTGTTATAACACTGCAGATCAGCTAACAGTCGATGACAGCTTGGGAGAATTGACAGTGGAACAGTCAACGGCAAATGAGAGCTTAAAAGGGCTGGCTAATGATGTACTTAATGAAGCAGCAAGCAGCGCCTTAAAAGAAGCAACGAATAATAACCTAACAGCAGGTCAATTGGCAGACGGCAAATTAGAAGAGGGGCAATTAGCGAATAGGAAACAAGAAAAACCCGTCAGAAGGAAAGAACGAAAAACGGGACAGGAAATAAACATGTTCTTAAAATACTGTAACAGAACACAAACGTCAAAATACTTAAGAATTGGGGACATAGTTGAACGACACCTACAAGATGGTGACATTGTCCTTTTCAATCGTCAACCATGTCTCCATCGAATGAGCATCATGGCACAAAGAGCAAAGGTCCATTCAGAAAAAAATTTTAAGTTCAAGGAGTGTTGCTGTACGCCCTACAATGCAGACTTTGACGGGGACGAAATGAATGTCCACGTGCTGCAAGCGTACGAATCTAGAGCTGAAGCCACAGAGTTGATGTGTGTCAAATCTAATTTAGTCAATCCAAGGAAACGGAGAGCCGCTCATTGCAGCCATCCAGGATTTTGTAACAGCCTCTTATTTATTAACATCCAGAAACGCTTTCTTTAGTTACGAAACTTTTGGTCAATACGCGCCCGATCTGGAAAGAAAAATTGAGGCAAAGCCTGTGATACTCAGACCCTCCAAACAGTTTCCCGGGAAGCAGTTAATAGAAGCTTTGCTAAAAGAGGTAGTTGAGGTGGGATATGAAAGTAGAGTAGGATCTGGTGCATGCATAAACAGTGTTAATACAGAAGCGGTGACACTGATTAGCAAGAATCGATCCTATAAACAAGACTGGAACATAAACGATGGATACGTAGTTGTAATACAGAACAAATACTTCTTTGGGAGGTTAGGTAAGTCAGTAATCGGCACGGAAAACAAGGAAACGAGTCTATTGTTTCGACTTATAAAGATAAACAGGACCAGTGCACTTAATTTCCTTAATAAATTATCAAGGCTCAGTTCAAGATACTTATGTGATTCGGGATTTTCAATTGGGATGGGGGATGTTACTTCGAATCTCGAACTGGAAATGGAAAAAAAATAAAATCTGTGAAGAAGGGTATCTGAAGGTAAACATGAAGATAGAGGATTACAAGTCGAAAAAAACTGGAATTGGAGTCAGGCTGCAATTTGGAAGAAACGCTAGAAAGCCACATGAGTTCAACATTAAATAAAATAAGGGAAAGCTGTACAAATCTGTGTTTAAATGAACTGAGCATCAATAACAGTCCAATTATAATGCAGAGCTGTGGGTTCAAAGAGTCCAAAATCAATGTTTCACAAATGGTTGCCTGCGTAGGGCAGCAAATCATTTCTGGAAAACGAGTTCCAATTGGTATTTTAGAAGAACTCTGCCTCATTTCGCTGTCTATTCTAAGTTTCCTTGGGATAAGGGTTTTGTTGCGTCGTCTTTTAGAAGTGGACTGTCATCTACTGAGTTTTTTTTCCATGCCATAAGTGGAAGAGAGGGTTTAGTCGATACAGCAGTTAAGACTGCGGAGACAGGATATATGCAAAAAAGACTCATGAAGGCTCTAGAAGATTTGAGTGTAATGTATGTTTATACTGTGAGAGGGTCTGATAAGAGTATAGTACAGTATGTTTATGGAGAGGAGTGTGTTGATCTTTGCTTAGTTGAGTGGGAAGATAAGATTAGAAGGGACGTTGTTTGTGAGGAACTGGTAAGTGAGTTGAAGATATTGCACAGGCAGGTGGGCAATGGCATTCTGTTTTGTACGCATAGAAAATAGCCTAAAAACGATTCGAGTTGCATAAATGCGAGAGAAGACTCTACGAATTATCAGAAGGTCGATGAGTTTTTGGAAGGGAGAATGGAAAGCTGTGATTTGCTAGCTCTAAGAGACATTTTCAGCACTCACAAAGAAAAGATCAAGTCTGCCTTAATGTCTATTTACAAGTCCAAATTAAATACATTGAAAATTGAGCCTGGCTCAGCGGTCGGAGCTCTGGCTGGTCAAAGCATCGGAGAGCCTGGAACTCAGATGACCTTGAAGACGTTTCACTTTGCTGGTGTTGCCAGTATGAACATTACCCTTGGAGTGCCAAGACTAAAGGAAATTATAAATGCGGTTAGGAACATTAATACACCCACAATTAAGACTAATTTTGTCAAGAATTGGTGCTTGGAGGAAGCCAAAAGGGTCAAAGGTAGAATAGACAAGATTTATTTGAAAGACATTGTGTCTTCGATGACAGAGATTTATACACAGAAGGAATCGTTTTTAGAGGTAGAGATCTGCTCAGAAACAATTCCAGTCTAAAGCTGGAGATAAATTTGGAACAAATGAAACGAAAAATAAACTGTGAGTCATTCATAGACAACAACAAAATTACCTTTTATTTAAAGAAGGAGGAAGGAAAGTACTAGTAATTTGCGGTAAAGGATTTTAAAAGGAATCTCAGCAACATTGTGGTCAGTAAAATAAAGAGCGTTGAAAGGGTGATTTTAGTCAAAGAAAAGGACTACAAATTATTTGTAGAGGGAACGGGTCTAAAACAAATATTTGGAGTTGAGGGTGTCGACTACAGAAGAACAGTTACGAACAACATAATGGAAATGGAAAGACTCCTCGGAATAGAAGCTGCAAGTGAAGCGATAATCAGAGAGATGCAGTACACAATCTCAAGCCATGGAATAAAAATTGATCCAATACTTCTGATGCTACTTGCTGATGCAATGGCTTGCAAGGGGGAGGTGTTTGGAATAACGAGGTTTGGAATCAGTAAAATGAAGTTCAGTACATTGATGCTTGCTTCCTTTGAGCAAACAGGAGATCATCTATTTGAAGCAGCCATAAGAAATTGGAAAGACGCTATTAAGGGAGTGAGCGAGTCTATCATAATAGGTGCTCCTATTTCTATGGGAACGGGAAGCGTTGAACTATTCTACAAGGAGTAAGTAAAGTTGGACATGGTTGATTGAGAGCATCAATCAATCATCAACAGCAAACAATCACATATATCAGTGGTTGACAAGTGAGATCTAATCCTCATAAGAACTCCCTCTTGCTTGCAATGGCCTGGCTATCTCAAGGATGAATACATTTTTAACTTCATTTAATTGGTACTGGCCTGCAAATGTGCAGCATACAGCCATCAGGGCCACCCTAAAATTTAGTTGTCAAACTCTATTCTCCACTATACTTTCCATAAGAATTTTCCTGTTCACTGAGATCTTGGCAACTTAGGTAATTGTAGCAGGAACATAGGGACATGAGAGTATGTCAAGAGTAGAAAATGTATGGCATGAGTAACAAAGAGAAGGTCCTGACAAAATATGACAGATTTCTGTCATAGGCCTAGGTATGCCATCATAAAACCAGTTGACTCAGCCCTTGAACTGATGCAATAAATACCCACCATCATGCATCATGTAACATCATAGTACTGCTTCTCCAATCTGTCTTGTGAACTCTTAATTTTTAAGAGGCCTTCAATTTATTTTACCACAGCGCCACTCTACCACACCTTCTTTCTGGGATTTACTAACTTTTGGTGTAAGCCTAAATGAAGGATTGTCCTCCAGTCGGGCCTAGGCCTAGCTTTACTCGTTCAAATGAAATTCAACCCTCGACTTGCAGTGGCATCTAGCCCTTTCAGGATGAAACCATGGGCTTTGAGTTGAGGACGTGTAATGTTAAGGCAATCGCAGGCCTATTCATACCTTCACGAACCATTTCAGAGAGGACATGTAACGTTAGGCCGATTTGAGGCCTGTTTCGTGTTTCATAAACCGTATCAGTGGTGGGGACGTGGAACATTAGACCTATCAAGAATTCCTCGAATCAACTCGACTAGTTCTGAAGAGAGAATGGCTCCAGAAAGCATCCCATACAAGCCAGGCGCCATCATGTTTATCCAGGGATATATTCAGGGATTCAACATCTCCATATCCCACTACGTCGATCGGCCGCTGCTTACCACCTTTTCATCTCAGCTCATCTCATAAAACCAATGCAAAAATGTTTCATACATTAAAATGGAAAAGATCCAGACAATGAGACTTGGGATTCATGACTAAGAAGTCATGAATCTGACATAACTCTGGCGTGATATCCAGCAACACCGGGAACGGGTCTGGAGTCATCACTTTCAGCCTAAATGAATGACAGCTATTTTCATTTTCTATGGCGAAATGGTGCACCGCAAACGACAAAAATTCATTTTTCGTTAGCTACAGGTCAGCCCCTTTTTTTTGTCCGTCGCTTTCTTTTGGAAACTCCCCAGGAGTGGCTACCCAAGGGGAGGGATAACGGAATGTAATTCACAAATTCAATAAGTGACATTTTCTCTCCACAACCTCGTAGAGATGGAGTTTCAAATTTGCTGGAGCGATTCTGTGTCGAGAGAGCAAAGCCCAAATTTCGGAGTTTATTCTCAGAGAGGAATACAAGGAGGTTGAATTTTGCAACGGAAAGTGGTTGAAGAAATGTAATAGGGCGCAACCGCGTCTGTTGATACTTACAACAGATTACAATACCCGAAAATACATCTCCCGTTTCTTATCCCGCGCAGTTAATTGCCTTTAGGAATTAAGACCTCTCCCCCCTTCCACGTTTCAATTAATTTGCCTCCAGAGGTAGGAAGGCGGAGCTTCTCCTACATTTATTGGCTCAAGTGTTTGCGATAGACTCAGAAATGGAAATTATCACAACATGCTGTCATTATTTTCCAAACTGCTGCAGCGGTGCTAGCGCCGCTCTCTTGGTAAAATTACAAGAGCAAGTTAATTGGGTGCTCCTTCCACGGTAAGCAAACCATGTTTGGTACCCACTTAAAATGAGTCTCAAATGGAACTTCTACCAAGATTTTAGTAAGGTTACCGATTTGAACTTTCATCAGGTGATTCTCGCGAAACCGTGAGCTGTCGGTAAGGAATTTCTACCGTATCAATGGTAATATGACCACCCGTGAATGACGACTCTACCACGCAGCACTTCAGAAGACGGTAATATTACCAAATTGGAAAGAAAAAACAACAGCACGCATGGTTACTTTACTGTGATGTCTTGGTAACCAGACCGACTTGTTCTGTGCGTGTAACTCGACCTGCCTTGCACCTGTGCTTAGCCTAATGGGAAGCAGAAAATAACAATAAATTGTTTAGGGTGCAAGGAAAGTAAGTTAATTTTCCTTTCTCTAGAAGTCGTAAATAAATTCATAGATGAGAAATGATCGTCCTCCACGATTCCTGCCGATAAGAGAGAGAGGAACCCGCCAGTAAAATATGTATGGAATGCTCATGGAGATCCTCTCAAGATTGACATTGCTGGCTGCCCTTGCCTAAAGCAACAACCGATCACTGACTTTGTGAAAGAATTGTGGAATGTGCGTTGAAATTTCCTAGTCTCATTCAGTTCGTCGATGCTAATTATTGCATAAATTATACGTGAGCGAAAACATGAGTAAGACGTTTCCGAGTAGGTGATACAAACAACGAAGCACCTCAAGACCTTCCAAAACACTAATACCTCACGACAAGGAACTTGTGGATGGGAGTTTGTGAAAATATATGTGAACTAATGGGAAATCATGAATCCCTGAAAGTAGACAAAGTTTCTGTTGGAGAACTGCAGAAAATGGAGGTACCCATCCCACTCCGGTAAGGAACAAGCGTGTAGAGGCATACTGATGCGTGACCCCTCCTCCAAGAATGATTCATTACGCGATGAGCGTCGAGTGACGTCGCTTCACTCTTCCATTGCCTGGCCAATCATTGGAATTAAGGGAAAAAATAAAGAGATCGTGAAGAAGGTGGGTTTTGGTACATGTACCAAACATGGTACACTTGTGGTGATGCTCTTTGTTGTTCAAGGAAATGTACACGAAATCAAACCACGATAGCCCCCATCCAATCCTCTTGAGATGGTGAAGATTGATTAAGTTCGTTGACAACATCATAGATAGCTATGGGTCCAGTAAAATATACACAATCACAGTTAAGGACTCTTACATGGAATATTAGCTTGTTTAATTCCTGGGCTCTATGAATCTGTCTCGAATATGGAGATAATAAATGAAGAAACAGAAGTTTTGAGTAATTGTTTCATGAGAAATGACGAAATATATGCTGAAATACTAAGTACTGCTGTGAAGGATGAATATAGGGAGAAAAGGAAGGGTACATGTGGGTACTGTGCAAAGTCCAGGAACCACACTGCCATCTAGTGACCTAGAGGAGAATTTCATTTCCCTTAAACTTCCAAGCATAACAAAGCCGCATTGGAAAGTTCCATCCGTTCGATATGGGATCAATGATGGCAGGGGAATGTTGGGGATACAGTGCTTCCCCAAAATTGGCAATGTTGGTGATGTAATATCGCCTATAGCCGATATATGCTGCTATTAATATCAAGCCAACCTGGAGCCTTAATTGGGTCTGTGTCTTTTGGTAACTTTGCGAAACTAATGGCAAAGCAGCATAGAACAATGAATCAGCCATTGTCCTCCATCAATGAAGTGCCGAAAAATGGCTCGCCAAAGCTGGACCCATGAATGGACCAAGCATGCCTGCCAATGCCGACGATCTGCCAGCGTTGCCATGAAGGGGCTATTGCCTAGCCAAGCATTTTGGGTAATGTGGGATACTGCTTCCTCGGCCCAAGTCGTTTTCATCTCGAGAGTTCGTAAATTTCAGATCGATGAATGGTTAAAGGGAAAAATCCGAAAGAGGTGAAACTCGCACTTTTTTCCTTAAACCAAATTGCAATTTCTCGACCAGGCGCTGTGAAAAAGTACGATTTAATTTAATTTTCACCCACTCGCGTAGTTGCCAGGAACGCAGAGGGATCGCGTAGGGCGCCATATCAACTATAGATAGTTAATAATTGCATAGACTCTAATTTCTTCATGTCTGCTTTGTCCGAGGACCTGCGCAAGTCGATTTCTTCGAGCCCGAACCCATATCCCCTATTTGAAACGTGGCCCGACCCGGCGTCGAACTTCATTGTTTATCTGCTTCACTTGAATGGTTGCTGAATGAATAAGAGAAGGCTGGCCGGAAGAAGGCCGGAAACATTCTCTTCCAACCCTCTCGAAAGGATGTTGTAAATTTACAAAATTTGCTAAATTTTGCATTCGGGCTTCAGGCCGATTCGTAAATGACCATCACTCAGTCGTTCGCACCCAAATTGGCATAACTGGAAGATAAGAACTTTTTGTTCATGAAAAAAAAACTTCTCAAGGATACTCTCCCATAATGTCATAGACAATTTTCCCTCATTCTTATATTTGTTTAGTACTGTTATTCCATAGCTCTCCGAACATATATGGCAAACGACTCAGTTATGGGCTGCAGCACATGAAAAGTCCGAGAGCTAAGCTACCATGGCGCGCATACCAGTGAAGTGACCTGTCCTGGCAACACGAATGCTTATGCACGCTTGAAAGGCGGTCATGTTACAAATGCCTAGCATTTGGAATTTCCCTGCGCAGTGGCCCATCACCGAGTACACGTCCTTAACAGGCCCTTAACATCATAGCACATTTAACATCATCGGGGTATTTTAACCTAAATATGTTTAGCCGGACTTATAAAAGCACTTCCAAAAAGCAAAACATATTCAAAAATACTTAATTAAACTCCAACCCGTACTCTTTCACAGTGCCTAGAAGAATCCTTACTCAGTGAATATTTCACTGAGATGTTTGTATGAAGACAAGGAATATATTGATGACGTCACCTGGAATTTTCAGGATGAAGTACTCACTGTCAGGATCCGCCTGGAGGTTCCGTTTCCATCCACTCAGCCGGCAGTCGACGCCTCCGGAGATCTTCGTGGCGGAGAAGGTGTAGCAGATGGGATTCTTGCTCCTGGAAATGTATTTTTTTTTCTGCCGTCATGCGAAGTGATTTCGACTCGTCATTCAAGACCGGAAATTACAACTCACTTA